ATGAGTGTGTGAGTGAATGAGTGGGTGAGTGAGTGAGTGAGTGAGTGAGTGGGTGAGTGAGTGAGTGAGTGAGTGAGTGAGTGGGTTAGTGAGTGAGTGAGTGGGTGAGTGAATGAATGAGTGTGTGAGTGAATGAGTGAGTGAGTGAATGTGTGGGTTAGTGAGTGAATGAGTGAGTGAGTGAGTGAATTAGTGGGTGAATGAGTGGGTCAGTGAGTGAGTGTGTGAGTGAGTGAATGAGTGAGTGAGTGAATGAGTCAGTGAGTGAATGAGCGAGTGAATGAGTGAGTGAGTGAGTGAATAAGTGGGTGAGTGACTGAGTGGATGAGTGAGTGGGTGAGTGAGTGAGTGGGTGAATGAGTGGGTGAGTAGGTGACTGAGTGAGTGAATGAGTGGGTGAGTGAATTAGTGAGTGAGTGAGTGAGTGAATGAGTGAGTGAATGAGTGGGCGAGTGAGTGAGTGAGTGGGTGGGTGAGTGAGTGAGTGGGTGGGCGAGTGAGTGAGTGAGTGGGTGGGCGAGTGAGTGAGTGAGTGGGTGGGCGAGTGAGTGAGTGGGTGAGTGAGTGAATGAGTGTGTGAGTGAATGAGTGGGTGAATGAGTGGGTGAGTGAAATAGTGGGTGAGTGAGTGAAAGAGTGGGTGAGTGAGTGGGTGAGTGAGTGGGTGAGTGGGTGAGTGAGCGAGTGAATGAATGAGTGGGCGAGTGAGTGAATGAATGAGTGAGTGAGTGAGTGAGTGAGTGAGTGAGTGAGTGAGTGAATGAGTGAGTGAGTGAGTGGGTGAGTGAGTGAATGAATGAGTGGGTGAGTGACTGAGTGGGTGAGTGAGTGAATGAGTGAATAAGTGAGTGAGTTAGTGAATGAGTGGGTGACTGAGTGAGTGAGTGAGTGAATGAGTGGGTGACTGAGTGAGTGAGTGGGTGAGTGAGTGAGTGAGTGAGTGGGTGAGTGAGTGAGTGAGTGAGTGGGTGCATGAGTGAGACCATGGTTGTGTGAGGGAGTGCGTGGGTGCCTGTCCCCAGCCGGCTGTCTGGCCCACTCTCAGCACTGGTTAGCCCCTGTGCTAACCTGAGAAATTTCCATAAGCAACAGTCAGAGGCCAGGTGTAAGGCTTGTGGTCAGTGACTGACGATAAAATCATATTATGACCGTCACTAACCGTCAGGGAGGAGAAATGTGGCCAGGGAGGCAGGGACTGATGCCAAGACGGGCCAGCCCTTGCCCACCACCTCCCCAGCTGCCCCCTTCCTGCAGGGATTCTGCCTGGTGCCCGCCACCCACTGCTCTCAAGGGCAGGGCTGGGCCTCACTCCCCAGTTGCCCCCGTGTGCAGCATGGAGCTGCCCCGTGGCAGGACTCTGGCCCTCCGCCGTCTGGGCCTGGCCCTGGGGAAGGTCCCTGTAGCTGCTCTTCCACTCAGGGGGGGTCCCATCCTTCGTGCTGTGGGCCGTGGATTTGTCTCTAAGTTGCAGAAACCCAAGCTCTCTGGTCAGAGCTTCTCATACCCAGAGGTAACTGTCCTGACCCCCCACCCCCACCGAATATCCATCCATTTTCTAATTGCATGTGGCCCCCACACCATTACTCCCAGATACCCTATGAGGCCCCCGTGGGAGGTGTCCCCTCCAGGCCTCAGCACAGCCTCTGTGTCCCCGCCTCCCTGCCTGGTGACTTTTTCTGCTGCTGTAATCCAGCACATCCTTGCAGCCCCTCACCTGACCCAGAGGCTCTGCAGGGCCTCAAGCCCCGAGACCTGCTCTCCCCTCACCCCTCGAGGTGAGACGGTGGCCCAGGGTGGCACTTAATGGAACCCAACACAGACAGAAAAGGGCTGTTGACTTGTTGCTCTGTGGCAGCACAAAACGAAAAAGTGAAATTTAAAAAATATCACCTGAGTGGGAGATTCCCAGCCCCCGCATGAAGGGTGGCCCCGAAGCAGTTGGGAAACTCCTCTGCTGGGGTGAGGACCTCAGTCCAGCACACACACCCGCGACCCGGACAGTCCTGTGAGAGGAGCTAGGAGGACGGGGCTGCAAGACCGACCCCGGTGGACAGGCAGGTCAGGGACAGCGCTGGCCCCAGCCCTGCCCCGGGCCCTGTGCCCCTCGCACCCCACGGCCGGCCAGGTGAAGAGCACCGGTCCCCTGGGCAGTGGTGGCCGCAGACCCCTCCGCCGCGCTGTCTGGTTCCTGCCCGCTGTGTCTCCCACCAGGGCGCCTACGCTGCCTGGAATCTTTTTGCTTTTTCAGTGGTTCAAAAGAATAGGTGCTTCTTATTTTGTTTTAAATAAAACCAGCGCTGCTGAAGCTCCCTCCATGTACCCCCATCCCCGCCAGCAGCCGTGCGCCTTCTCAGTCCCCGCGCCATGACGGGAAGGAGACGACCCCACCCCACGGAAGGGGCGACTGGGCCTCCCCGTCACCCACCGGAGGCGCTGTCCAGGCGACACCCAGGTTTTCGGGGGTGCTGGGCCAGGGGCGATGCGGGGCCGAGCGCGCGCGCGCTGATGGCGGGAGAGGAGCCCGGCGACCCGACGGTGGAGGCGCCGTCGGAGGGCGCGCGACCGGCCTGGGTGGGGCCGACCCTGGGGCCCGGGTGCAGGGGGCCCGTCGAGGTGGCAGCGAGGGCGAGGGACCCCCATTCCGGAACGCAGAGTGGGGACGGGGTTCTCCTGCGGTCGGTGGACGCGCCAGGGGCCCCTTTCCTTGCAGGCCCCGCTCTGGCCCCGCCCACCGCGCTGTAGCCCCGCCCCGCCTTGTTTTCCCCCGGGGCCTGGGACGCTGCATCAGGACCACGAGGCCCGAGGGTGTGGTCCACGGAGCCCCTGGCACACGGCTCGGTCGGGTGTGCCCAGTGAACGCCAGTCCCAGCCACCGTCCCTCTCCTGACGCAAGACGCTGGTCCCAGGGCTCCTTTGCCACAGGCTGCTTCTCAGGCTCAAGGGTAGAGAGACCCAGGACCTGCCAGCTGGGACTGCCTGCCTGGGCCGAGGGCAGCCCGGTGAGCCTGAAGCAGGCTTCCAGCTGGGTGGGGCACAGGGGACCACAAACCCAGCCACTGGAGCCCAGCATGTGGCCTTGAGACAGAAAAGGAGAAGACACAGGCTGTGTGAAGACAGAGGCAGAGGCTGCAGCCAGGAAGCCACAAGCCTAGGGATGTCTGGAGCCACCAGAAGCTGCAGGTGCAAGGCCTCGCAGGGAGTGTGGTCCTGCCCACACCTTGACCCTGGACTTCCGGCCTCCGGATCTGAGAGAGTAAATTTTTGTTGCTTTAAGCCACCCAGCTCATGGTGATTCGTTACAGCTGCCACAGAAAATTAATACACCGTTGAATGTCACATGATCCCTGCTTTCACCCCAGCCCTGAGTGTCCCAGAGGTTCCCAGAACCCCAACCATCACTCTTCCAGTCCCTGGACACGGCCATCCCTGTGAGCCTAGGGCACACCTTACTCTCGTGGGCTTGGCCCCCCAAAAGACCCCAGGAGGAAAGATGTTCGCCTGTAAAGGTAAATTGCACTGTTTCTTTGAAGAAGGAAGCTAGGATTAGATGAGTATTTGTGTTTTTATTTCTAGACATATTTTCTAAATGTACTTCCCTGACGTCTCTTGCAGTGAACAGCGACAGTAGACAGCTGTCCTACAGAAATGAGAACATGATTTAGCGCAGTGGCCCTGCACAGCTTCCCTGGAAACAGACACCTGAAATGTGGCTCGGGGTGGCTGGCCCTGCTGTCCAGGTGGTGGGGTCTGCTCAGCCCTGTGCTCCGAGTGTGTGTGAAGGTGCCCAAGGCAAAGGCATTGCTGGGGGAGGAGAGGAGGGTCAGCCCCCGATAGTGACCCAGTGAGGTAGGTGTTATTGGCCCCACTTTACAGATGGGGATACTGAGGCAGTGATGTGACCTGGCCTAGACGGGGCTCATCAGAGGCAGAGCCACTTCTGCATTCAGCCTTGGTGAGGGGCAGGGGCATCGAGGGAAGTCATCTGTCTTCTCCCAGCCCTAGGTTGGATTCTCCCCTGATGATGAAGCCAAGCATCCCCTTCCCTCTGGGGCAGGTGACACACCCTTCCGGGGTTGTCCACCAGCACTTCCAGCCTACTAGCATTCCTGACACAAACATTCTGGGGTCCCTATGAAGGACACATGGGCTGCCCTGCTGGGCGCCATGCTATGTGTCTGCTCAGCAGAGGCAACCCCAGACAAGGGCCCCCAGGGCTGGGCTTCTGCCCCCTTGTGGGTCTTGGGCTGTCCCTCAGTGAGCAGACAGTGCGATGGTGCCAGGTGACCCTTGGCTTGGTTCGCATCCACTTTTTTTTTTTTTTTTTTGTCTTTTTCCATGTCCGGCAACGGTTCGCAACCCTCAGTGTCGCCCCCGTACCGGACCGGGACCGGCAACGGGATCGCAACCCTCGGTGTTGCCCCCGCGCCTCGCTCAGCCAGTGAGCGGGAACTGGTCTGTACGTGGGATCCGAACCCTCGGCGGGAGCGCCGCCACGCTTCCCAAGTGGCGCACTAGCGCAGTGCGCCACCGGGCCGGCCCCCGCATCCACTTTTTGAGGCGGAAGCTCAGAGGCCCCGGGGTGTACTGTCACAGCCATCCAGGCAACACTTGCAGAAAAGCACTGTGGATGCCAATGGGCAGCTACCCAGTGCCTCTGCCAAGGGCTGGGCTGTTTGCTGACAGCCAAGGGAGCCAGCCAGAACAGGCTGCCATGAAGAGGTCCTCCTGCCTGCCATACGCTCTCTAGGCTCCCAGCATCACACACAACCTTGCCACGCTGCCACCTTCCATGTGGGAAAGCCTGGGAGCCTGCGACTCCTGAGGGGCAGAGGCTCATGGAGGGAGTGGCTACAGGAACGACACATCAGTAGTGTGTCTTCCAGAGGGGGCCTCACAGCCACGCCACGATGCTGTGGCTGGTGGGCTCTGTGGGGCAGGGGAGCCACATTGCTGACCCGTGGACTCCCACACCCGCCGTCCCCCCCTGCAGCACAGTGGGCTCAGCAGAACTCCATCAGCCTCCTGGAGGTGCAGGGTGAGCCCTGCATGCCCAGTTGTGACCCCGGGGGATGGACAGGCCTGGGGAATGTGAAGTCATTTGTGAGCGCCGGAGGCAACCGCATCTCCATTGAGTCCTTTGAACACGTGAGCTTGGTGACGTCTGTCTTTGTGGACCGCTTCTTCCACTCCTTGTGGATTTTGGACACTTCTTGCCGAGAATGGTCCGTGGCCAGCACATAGATGATGGGATCGGCCACACTGTTCACTGTGGACAGGCACAGAAACACCACAGAGACTGTGTACAGCCTGGCTTCGAAGGCACACACGGCTTCCCTGTCTCCTCTGTAGTAGGAAAAGGCGACGGCTTTGATGAGGAGCACCAGGTGGTATGGGGCAAAGCAGACCAGGAAGATGACGACCACCGCGATGACCAGGTGCTTCACCTTGGCCTTCTGGGCGGCAGTCAAGCCCCCACTCACCTTGATGCTCCTGAAGATCCGGTGGTTGGTGAACGCGATGATGGATAGAGGGATGGCAAACCCGATGGCGAACCGGGCGTAGTGGTACCCGGCGATCCTCTCATCCATAGGCAGTGTCTCGAAGCAGGTTTCCCTGTCTTCCATTTCAAACACCGGGTAGTGAATAAGCCCGACAAGGATAAAGATGCCCACAGAGATGAAGATGGCAGCCTTCTGGTGGCGGTGGCCTCGGCTCTCCAGGGCGTACACGATCGCCATGAAGCGGTCGCAGGAGACACAGCACAGGAAGAGGATGCTGATGTAGATGTTGCAGAAAAAGATGTAGGCGGTCACCTTGCAGGCCCACAGGCCCAGCATCCAGTGGTGCTGATTCTGGATGTAGATGAGCCAGAGTGGCAGCGTGCTGATATAGAGCAGCTCACAGAGGGCCAGGCAGAACAGGTAGACGGCCAGCACGTTGCCCTGCAGCACCTGCAGCAGCGTCAGCCACGCGGTCAGGCAGTTGGCAGGCAGGCCCAGTGCGCACACTGCACTGTACACCACCACCAGGATCACTCTGCTCTCCTCGAAGGACACGTTGCAGATCTCGGAGGAGAAGCCTGAGGAAGCCTGCGGGATACGGGTGGCATTTCCTGTGGGACAGAGACAAGTGTGAGGACAGGGTCCCTGGAGACCACCCAAAAGAGACTTTACAGTGCTAAGAAAGGATAAGAAGTTTCGTGGTAACTTCAGACCAGATGCACCAGGTGTTTCAAAAGTTTCCGGGCCGAGCCCGTGGCGCACTCGGGAGAGTGCAGTGCTGGGAGCGCAGCAGTGCTCCCGCCGCGGGTTCGGATCCTATATAGGGATGACCAGTGCACTCACAGCACTCACTGGCTGAGCGCAGTGTGGCCGGTCTCAAAAAGGACAAAAAAAAAAAGTTTCCACATGGATTTTTTAAAGTGACCCTTAGATCATGGACCTCCAACATGATGGCATCATGGACGGAGAACACAGACAGGGCAGCACTGAGTCTTTTCAACCTGTTGAGGTTGGTTTACAAACATGTGGCGTGTGTGTGTGTGGAAAGTGTTCATTCTCTGATGGCCACGCTAGTGCTCTTCTACGCACGTTCTCAACAGCATTCAGAGTCAGGTGCTACCACCACCCTTTCCCAGCACCACCCCCACCCACCAGTGTGGGCGCCGTCTCTTCCTAGTCTATAGTCCGACCACTTCTTTGCCTACTAGAACCATTAATTACCAGGAAAGATGACTAACAGCTCCTGTCGTGATGGTGATTTGTCCACTTCTCCTTGTACGTCTGTCAAAGTTTGCTTTATATACTTGGAGCCCTTATTAGCTGGTGCATAGGAGTTAAACATGGTTCTGTTTTCTTGATGAATTGACCCTTTGTCATTATGTCATGATGCTCTTTCTCTCTGTCTAGGCAGATGTCGGAATCATAATCTCTGGAATTTGTGAATATGCTGGGCTACATGGCAATGGGAATTAAGGTTGCAGATGGAATTGATTGCTAATTACCTAACCATAAAACCCGGGATTATCTCGGTGGGCCCAATGTAGTCCATAAATGTGGAAAAGGCAGAAAGAAGAGATCAGACTGATGCAAGCAAGAGCCACTTGACCAGCAGTCGGTGGCTGTGAAGACAGAGGAAGGCACCACAAGCCAAGGAATGCAGGCAGCCCCTAAAAGCTAGAAAAGGCAGGGAGAAGTATTATTCTCCTGGCAGCTAGCAGGTGAGAGTCCTCAGGTTTGCTCAGCTGAGTTTTTGTCCACCCCTCACTGCAGGGCTGCCCTTTGGGGTTCTGGATGCAGATGTCCCCATTCAAACCCTCCCTCATTCCATGAGACTCCCACGGCTTACATTCTGTCCTGGCCAATTAGAATAAACAGCAATAAATCAGGACATAAATACAAAACAAACTTAGCAACATCTTAGGTCTGTGAATATTCCTGTGTTGATTCTCATTGCAATTCAATAAACCCAGCATGATCACTGCTGTATGATGTCATATGAAGTCCAAGGCAAATAGAACATTCCAGGACTCTGGAGTACCAGGGAGGGGTGAGACTCATTGCATCGCCCCAGGGGTGCACCCCTCCCTGCCCCAGCACACTGTGCCTGGGGGGCCCCAACCCCTCCTGGTGCTGTCTCACATCCATTCTCCACATGCTGCTTGGTTTTGGGTTCTCGGGATTTCCTACCCCTTGCGAGCTCAGCCAAGTATTTGCAACACTCGTCAGACATTTGACCCATTTGACCCAGAGCTTTTAGGTGGTTTGTAGTGGGAGCCCATGCAGGCTGCACAGCACCAGAAAGGGGGTCCTGGTAGGGCCGCTCACCAAAGCGCAGGTCCTCATTGAGTGTCCCTTGAAGAGCCCCAGCCTGAACGCTGGGAGCTCCTCCATGCTCGGGTGCCCACCTGTCACAGAGGACTCAGCTCAGACACCTACTTGTTCCTGCTCAAGGAAGCCAGTAAAGCCACTGAGTGCCCAAGACAGACTCCAGTCCCCTAGGCCTGTGCAGTCCCAGACATTAGAGGCTGGTGTGACCGTGCATGGCCCAAACCTTGGCCCTCACCTGGGGTTTCCAGGGGCAGGTGGGACACAGGTGTGTGGTGAGTCTCAAGAACACAGTGCTGTGAGGGGTGACCTCCTAGCTCTCTAAGAAGACACTAACACTGTGGGGGATGCATCCAGAGTTCAGTCACTGGCAACATATCTGGGCACAGTCAAGGTGTCCTCTGGGTGGAATGACCCAACACCCAATACCAGGGAGGGAAGCCAGGTGGCTTTCACTCTCAGAGCCCCTCTCCTTCCCACCCAGCCTGTCCCTCATGTGACCCCACATTGGGACAGTAACCTGCCACCCATTGCCTGAACCGCACTCTGGAGCCACTGAGCCCCTCTCTCCCTCCCCAGCCCCACCCAATCCTGCCCACGTTCTAAGCAACCCTGCTCTAGCCGGCCCACACATGCCCCCCAGAGCCATGCGTCACTGTGCAGGCTCCTGTTTCTGGCGTCTCTGGTCTGGCTACACTCGTGGTTCTGTGATTTCTTTCACTATAAATGGCCAGAGCCTGGATAGCCTCTCTCCAGGTCAGCAGGAGGCTGGGACAGACCTGAGTTCAGACAGAGCTTTGTGATGCCTTCTCTGGCTGTAGCCCTGATCTTCAGCAGGGGCTCGGGGGCCCGAGGGCCTGGGGGCGGCATCCAGTCTTGTCTCCTAGGCCACAGGCTGATGTCTGGTGACCTCCTGACCTCTCCACATGAACGACCAACCAGCAAGGAAAACTCCACGTGTCCCAAATGGTGACATTGCCTTGTATGTTCCAGCCATCTGTGCAGCGTCCCTGGGATCTCAGCTACCAGTGCCCACGGTCACCAGGCAGGATGGCAACTGAGAAAGGCGCTTGTTTTCTTAGCTAAAGGTGCATCATGAAGGATCCGATAGCTTGTCCTGGAGTGATGGGGCACATCGTCCCACCAGTAGCCACCTGCGCCCTGTCCTGCCAACACCTGTAGTTTCCCGTTTTTTAAATTTTGGTAAAATAGACATAACAAAAAAATTTCCCATTCTAACCTTTTTTTAAAAAAGATGACCGGTAAGGGGATCTTAACCCATGGCCTTGGTGTTGTCAGCACCACGCTCTCCCAAGTGAGCCACGGGCCAGCCCGGATTCCCTTCCTTTTTAAGGCAGAATATTTCACTGTGACATTCCATTGTAAATAGTCTTCCAGAATGTGGCTGGTCCCACCTTTTGCTTCTCCCTTCACCCACTGATGGACATCAGCTTGTTTCCACGTGCAGCTGATGTGGACAATGCTGCTATGAACATGGGTGTGCAAATATCTCTTCTAGATCCTGCTCTCAATGTCGTCAGCATGTGCCCGCAGGTGGGATGGCTGGGCCACAGGTAACCCTGTGTGTGGCTCTGAGGACCACCATTCCATATGCGGCAGCGGCTGCATCGCTGTGTGTCCACCCACCGCCCACCACACTCCCGGTTTCTGCACGTCTTTGCCAGCACTGCTGTTTTCTGTTTCACTGGCAATCCATCCTAAAAGGTGTGAGGGGGTCGTGCCACTCCCTTTCCCCGGTCCCCTTGCCCACCTCCTGCCAGCACTGGAGATGCTGGGGTGTGTGCTGTCATCCCCCCGCAGATGGGATGCTGGGGCATGGGGTATGAGGAGATGCCTCAGATCCACCTGCCACTTCTTCCTACGAGAGACTGGGCTGTGGCGAGCAGGCAGGTTGGGAGCCCCCAGCACTGCCTTGTCTCCATCCCAGTGCTGACCCCCCATCCTGCAATACGTCAATGATGGTCACACACCCAGGGGGCAGAGCATGTAGGGATCCAAAACCCAGATGCAGGCACCAGCAAGGCCCAGCGGTGGTCCGAGGGGCCCCCAGCCCTCAGCCTCCACAAGCAGCTCTGGTCCCCTCCCTACTTCCTACAGCTGCCCCCACACCCTGCCCACCCACACCTCCTGCTCGGGCCCTCACACAGCCTTTGGACACCAAGTCCCACCACTGTGTCCCACCTGGTGATGACCCATCCCCACTCCATCTCCCTCCCCCAGTGGGTGACCTCCTGGGGCAGAGGAGCCCAGAAGGAGAGGGAGGTGACAGTCACCAGGAAAGGTGTGGGGGGCTCCCATGGGATGCCTGGGACAGCTCCGTGGCTCAGCTCTGGGTCACTGTCACAGGAAATAGGCACCCGAGAGCCACAGACTCTGCCCTCCCAGTCCTGGCTTCTTCCAGCACTTTTCAGCAGAATTATGAAATGGTGCTCCCAGTTTCTTGATGGAGCACCTCTGGAATTATTGTCTCTGAGTTAGTTTTTATTCTGAGAATCTATTTTTGTGTGTTAATTTTTGAATTACCAGACAATGTGCATGATAGAAAAATTCCCACGATGTTCAAAGCCTAAGGAGGGTCTCACCTGGCATGTTTGCGGGCTCCAGTCTCAGGCTGGCTCTCAAATAAGCTTTCTAGTACACGCCATGCGTCTTGTCAGTCCTGTTGGGAAGTGTGCTCTAAGAGTTTAAAATGACCTGGAGAAAGAAAAAGTCGAAATTGTTTTAGGGAAATCAGATTAAATCACAAATTAATTTATTTGACAAAATGGTTAGTGAGCATTTATTATGTGCCAAGTCTTGTATTTAACCTGTGGGACACAACAGCAGATCCTTAATATGTAAAGAACCCCTACAAATCAACAAAAGACAACCTAATAGAAAAATTGTCAAAGCCAACAGTATCAAAACATCATGTCATGGGGCTAGCCGGTCAGCTCAGCTGGCTGGAGCATGGCACTAATAACACCAAGGTCCGGGGTTCGATCCCTGTACCAGTCAGCCACCAAAAAATTAAAATAAAAAGCAAAACAAAAAAACACAAGACACCATGTTGTATACCATAAATATGTATAATTTTTATGTGTCAATTATACCTTAATAAAGCGAGGGCAAGGGTGGGGAGAGAGGAAAAAGAAAGCCAATGAGCTTTCACAGAAGAAATAAAAGCAGCTTCTAAAAATCTGAAAAATGCTCAACTTCACTTATAACCACAGAAAGGTGAACGTGACGTCCAAAAAACAGTCTTTTTGTTTTTCTGGCCTATCAGGTTGGTAAAAATAAAGGACTTTAACTCAGCGCTGTCGAGAGTGTGAGGAAGCGTGGACCTCAGACTTCACCGAGGGAGCTGTGAACCGGGAAAACTTTTTGCAGTATGTGTCCAGAAACCTTAAACGTGCTTAACAACTTTTGACCCTGTAACACCCCTCCTAGGAATTATTCCTGGTGAAGTAATGACCCGAAGTGTGAAGTGCATGTGACCTGAGGCTGTATCACAGCACGTCCCCCAACGTGAAAGGGACAAGGACCCTCAAGGAGGACCCCCAGGACGAGGCGTCTGTGCCCAGAGTGGGCAGGCCTGGAAGGCACAGCAGTCACAGCATCGAGGGCCTCATCTCACCGCTTCTTTCCCTAACCTGAGGTGCCCCGAAACCAGGCTCCATCCTGGCCAGTCAGAGCGGGTCTGGGAGAAGCGAGCCCTCTAAGCCACCCTCAGCCACAGCCCTGAGAAGCCCACGGGGTGGTGGAGGCCCGGGTGCCACCATGCTCTGAGAGGCCTGCAGAGGAGGGGCAAAGGCTGGGACTAGCAGGGTCACCTTGCAGGCTCCCATCCTGCCTGTCCGCTGCCAGGCCCGACCCTCATGGAAGCCCGCGGTGCAGAGGGTCTCCTGGGAGCAGCAGTCGGAACTTAAAACATGCGATGATCCATCCTGCCTGTCCGCTGCCAGGCCCGACCCTCATGGAAGCCCGCGGTGCAGAGGGTCTCCTGGGAGCAGCAGTCGGAACTCTCCAGAAGCCACTCCCGAGCAAGGCAGAACCCACAGACCCAAACTAGTGGACAAGCATCCCAGCTTTCCTGCTCAAGTGTATTTCTGAAAACTGGAAATAACAGGAAGCCAAGATGTTTACCTGAAACTCTGAAACTACAGGAAGTTCACTGACATGTAAAGAAAGACCTTGAGAATATGTTGTGTCTACAAAGAATCAAGAAAAGCCACCTCCAGGGTACGGGCCGGCGGTGTGGGCCTGGAAGCGTCCTGGGGTCTCCCATCCTGCCCCTGCCCCTCCCTCCCTGGGTCTTAGGTCAGCCCCCTGGGAGTCCAGCTGGTGGACACTGTGAGGGGTCTTCGAGACCCTCCCGTTCTGAGCTTCGTGTGCTGTGGCTGAGTCTGCCCCTGCTGTGGCACCTGCGGGCAGGACTCTGCCCTCTCTGCTGTCACTCCGCCAGCCCGTGTGGCACCAGCGTTATCTGGCAGAGATGCAGGGCTCTCGGGCTGCCCCCAAAACAGAGGGGGCTCGGGAGGTGAGGGAGCAGTGAGCCCAGCTGAGGAGGGCGTGTGTCCAGCAGGTGAGGGTGTCCCAGGGGGCTGCGGCCCCACCAGCCTCCCCCATGGCCCGATTTCCTGCCCTCTGCTGCCCAGCCCCGGGAGCCCGCGGCCAGCTCTGCCGCCCTCTGCTCTGCCTCCACTTGCAGCACGGAGCGCTACCCTCCTGGCTCCAGTCATGAACGCTAAGCAGGCCCAGCACCTCGCAACCCACCAACCAGAGGCCCGCACCATCAGACTCTCGGGCAAGAGGTCCTGGGTCCATCCGCGATGCCTGGGAAGGGGCTCAGGGACAGCCTGCCACCTTCACGCCAACTGGAAAGCCAGACCCGAGAGGGCTGGGGCCACGCTGCCCGCTCCTCCCTGAGGCCACCCAGCAGCCCAGGAGCAGGCACACGGGCGCCAGCGCTGCAGCCACTTCTGCAAAAGCAGAGGAAGTGGTGGCTCAACCGAAGATGCGCGGGCAGATGTCCTCTCTTCACCCCTGCCATCCTGGCCCAGGTGGGGACTCTGTCTTGGCTCTGGGATAGGTGGGAGTGACTGACCCTTGTGGGAAGGGTCCTGGCGCAGACCCCAGCCCTGACTCAGCAGTGGATACTCCAGCCTCCTTGAGACTTGGGGAAGGGACAGCCCACAATCCCCCGCCAACACGGGGGTCTGCTTCTTTGGTCTGTGTTCTGGGCAGCTAGGACAGGCTGAGACCCCATCATTGCACAATTGGATTTGGGGCAGCATGGTGGACATGGTGAGGTCACTGGATGACTCTGGGCACAAGGCCACAGGGTGGGCGGCCCAGGTCAGCCTGCTGCCCTCTGCCACCTTCTCCCCAGCTCCAGCCACATCCTCCGCCCCGCTGGGCCTGGGTACTGCCCTGTGCCTCTACCTCCCATTGGGGCACGATCAGCCCCTCATCTCCCAGACCCCAGGCTCAGTGACCGTGTTTCTGTCCAGCTCGGTCTTCACACGCCTTCCTCAGCCCCCCTCGTCCTCTGCACTCTCTTCCTTCTGTCCCCAGCCTGCCATCCCCAGGAGCTGTCGCTCCACCCTTAGCATGCCCACCTACCCTGCATTGCCCCTCATTTTCCGTATATGCTACTTAAATTAACCTACTCTCTAGGTCAGAGAAGCGCTCCCATTCCTGGAGCACTGTGTCCCGTAGCGGCTCCCTGTCCGTCTGTCGTTTACTTATGTATGTATGTATTTTGATGGCTGGCTGGTCCACCGTCCAGTCTTCTAAAATACGTCATTTAACTTTTTATTATGGAACTTTTCGAACAGACAGGAAAGTGCAGAGCAGAAGCCCCCGTG